GACTCGAGTTATTGCCACCAATGCGCAGGTGTTTTTGGTCTGAGTCTTAAGCTATTCAACGTTTTTTGTCGGCGGTGTGGATATAACCCTCAGAATACTACGCTCATCTTTTTGGGGTTCTCTACATCTTCCAAATCTGAGCCGACCAAAGGCAGTTATCCGACAATCAGACTTTGTGATCATTGTGCATTACTCTACTATGCCTAATATAATTGTATTTACCTCCTAGACGAGCTAAACTCACACATACCATTCTCTCTCTTGTCGTCCCTTTCTTTTCTTGTGCCTGGAGTAGCTTCCCGTGTCTCTGGTTCTTCGATTATGGGACATCTATCTGCTAGAAGGAGAGAAGATCCTCATTGCGATGGCTTTCAACATCCTCAGAATGCATAAAAGTAAGTAATCCACATCGTACGGTGCGTTTACTTTGTCTCTGATTCTCCTTTTTTCACACTTGTATCTGTCGGCAAATCTGTTTTATTATTTGTTCATACTTCGTTGTTCATCGTGCTTGCTACTTACCATCTCATATCGCGAATGCGGGGAATTTTTCTAGTGTCTCGTATGATTCGGCGAATTTCACGCTCGCAGGTTTAAACGTTTTAGTTATCCATAACCATTCCCTAACGAAATTAACCGCCAATCTCCGGTGCAAAGGCCATAATTAACTTCCTCGCCGTCCAACGACGGGGTCTGTTGTGTTTCCGGTTCGGTAGTACGACTATTATTTTTGAACCGTGTTTGATCCGTCGCGCCACGCCATGCCTCAGACCTCGGGTTGCGATCTCCCAGAATTGAACTTTATATCCTCGTGGTTTTCAGTTTATCCCCTCCTACATTTAGTTCTGTTGCCAAAACATCCATCCCACGTAAACCTTTTTGTATTTAGGTTATTGAGAGTGTTGAAACATTGAGGAATCAACTCGTGGGCTGATTTATAGCCAACCACGTTTCACATTGCCTATTCAGTCGACCGACCTAGCATAACTTTTTTTCAAATGGAACCCGTTGAACTTCCATACAACTGAACTAAAACAAATCATGTTTATGAAAGGGCTTCATAATCTACTTCACTCGATGCATGTTTTATTTTATCAAATAGAACCGGTCAATTCACCAGTACTTTTGCCCTGTCCCATGCTTAACTGGGCAGAGTGACCGATTGCCAAATCTGCTAACAGTACAGCGGACTGATGGGAAGGTCTGATACTCCGGACGGCGGTACACTCCTGGTTTCTAATAACCAACGGGCGAACCTAATGACATTGTGACGCATCCGATAAAGCATATCTCATAAATTCGGATGCGCCTTTAAACCACAAACTAAGGCTGTTCATTAGGTCGTAGCACACAAATCATTTATCATGAGTATTTGAGGTTTGTGTTTGCTTTATTGGGATGTGGTTACCAACACAATTGGTCACATTGGCTCCGGGGTTCACGTGTTTATCCTTTTGTAGTTGATAAGTTGGGGAATTTTATTTGAAACAGTACGCTCAACATTTTTATTAGGGGATGTTGATCCCATAGCTGTGTAGTCCTCCTAGAACCCTATTTATCACTGGCTTTCCTTGTGTTAACCGTTCTTTTAGTGATGAGTTTTCCATAAACGAAAAATCGCTCGTTGTGCAGTGAACTTGGCAATTTATCATGCTTTGTATTTCCTCCCGGATCTGTTGCACTTTTCGCTGACTGCGCGTCTGTGCAATCCGACCAATAGAACGGTTACTTCGTATGGATCAGACCCAGATCACCTGTTTCTTCCAGGATGAATTGGCCAAAGATTTCCAATTTGAAGATGATGTGGTCATCGAGTCTTTGAAAGAGTGCTTGGAACAGTTACGTCGGAACAAACTGGACCAACCTCCACCGCCAAGTAAGTACAGTAACCTGCGTAATCCTATTTTCGATTATATGTTCTGATCGAATCATCCGTTCAGTATCAGCACTTTTCCTCATTGCTGCAAGCAGTCCGAACCACTTCATACTGTGTCTTTCGAATCAGTGCCATTTGTGGATAAACTTGAGGATTTATCTCTCTTGAGGTCTGCTTCTTATCTGAGATATTTTGGTCAAGTGCTCATTGAGAGATAAAAATCGAATTTACAGTGTATCTATGGGCAACTTTCGGGGTCAAAATTCTGTTCCATAATTACCATGTGTATTAACACTACCATTAGTATTACTAATGTTGTGAGGTACTACTTACATTCGTGAGTAGGAAGTAACATAGTTGGTGATTCAGCTCAACGATCAAAAATCAACAAGAACACCGAAGGCAAATTGCTGTACCTCAGAGAATAACTATCGATTGCCTCATTCATTACCCGTTGTGCGTGATGGTATGTTTCTGATGAGATTTCTGTGTTATGTATACCAAATTAGTGAAGTCCCATCTGTAATCCTCGATAAACAACTATCCTCTACCGAGCACCATCTTGTGGAATTATAACGCTAATGAAAGTAGTAATACCAATATGTGTTGCATATATATATATATATATATATATATATATTATTGTGACGAAAAAGCACTTCCTGAGTACAAGTATCTGAATAAACTGATAAAAGATTAACGGACATGCATGCCTGACGAGCGGCAAGAACCGCAAAACCGGTGTGCTTCCCGGGAAACTTTGTTTGGTCAATAATTGATTACTTATTATGAAATATATACATGTGTGTGTGGAGAGGGAGGGAGAGAGAGCTATGAATCCATGCCCACAAGATCCCGAACAACACAGATCATTAAAAAAAATTAGGATAACATGTAAGGTGCTCACAACTGGAAGAGTTGTCAGCGTTGGCAAAGACAGTGAAATCGGTAGATGAAACCATATCTTTATGTTTGGATAAGTTTTCAGGATTGCGACTTCTCCTTCTGATGGTTCTGGATGTGGAACGGTTCATATGGTGCTGAAAATATTTATCGTAGATCTTAGGGTACCAAAAAATAGAGCAATGATCGGAGCTACCTATGGTAGCCCGCTTCTCAATGAAATAGATTTTGGGGTTATTTACAAAAATCCCGTCAATTTCAATATCAATCCGGGTAGGAAAAGTTGCAAGATTCGTCGAGCCTAAAGTTGTAAGGAAATATATATTAAAACGATTAAAATCACCAGCAGCAATGCATAAAGACTGGTCTAAGCCGGTTATAAGTTCTGAAGAGAAGGAGTCGACAAACAGACGAATATCAGAGACAGGTGTGTCGGGAGCGATGTAAACGTTCGCTAATGTAATATGATGAAAGTGACTGATAAATCGGGGTTTGCAGCAAACAAAAATACAATTTATCTTGGGAGTATTAAAGTGAAAACATTTACGACGATTGATGGGTTCGCATGCATGGCTTGACGAATTTAACAAGTTTCTTAATTTGACTCACGATATTTATTTTACTGATAATCCCACCAATTTGCGCTGAAAGTACGAAAAAATTATTGCAGTTGGCGAGCTCCCGTCATGAAATATATATATATATAATAAAAGTTCGGTATAAATCCTTCGAGTGACATTTTTCAATCGATTCACCGTACTGGTTGGCAGATTAACGCGATCTTTCATCTACTTTCTTTCCTAACCGTAGACTGCAGTGTGCCAAAGAAAGTTTACATCCACGTGAATATCATTTTCTCCTAATCCCCATTTTGATGTATCCGAACTTTCACAATTTCATGGGTGTCAATTGTATCTCGCGATACATGGTCAAACCAGATTCTGGGTATGCATTAATTCAGTTTTCCTTTCGTCTCGTGGCGATACTTCGCTGTATGACCCAAAAGATTTTTTAATCTTTCATCCGATTGACTGACGTTCATTTTCCAGTACCAGTTTATGACGAAGGAGATTTTCATCACAAGCTTGGAAACTCTTATTTTACTTTCCCTTCCATTATTTGAATTCACAAATAAAGATTAGTTTTATGTATGTTCACAGGGGCTGCGAACTAACTTCCGAAGAATTGCGCGAACCGATATATTTTTTTAAGTAAATGCAGTTTATATGTCCCAAATTATTGAACTTCCGACCGAGTTATAATAATAAACGGACGAATCCCATCGTTTATCCCTCTACCGTGGTCGTCAGTCAAGGAAACCTGATTACACCACTCTCGCTTAGTTTCGGTATGGATGTAATCGGAATGGTTATGCAAGCCAAGATGTGTAACCGATTTCGGAATCAGACTGACCAAACTAAAATAATGTGAAACGTTTCGGAATTCGCAGGGGATATTCGAATAGTTTTTAGTGAAAATTATGCCATTTCAGAAATGAGATGAGTTTAAATTTACGCCTGTCTGTGCTCCGTGTATCTTTAAGCCGCGGAGATGCTTCCTCGCCGTTCAGTTGGTTCGTTGGGTCCCGAATCCGTGTGGCAAAGTCAGCCAAACTTGCGCATTCACGATTTAGATGCGGACTTACGCAGTCCAGTTGTCAAACCCAATCTCCCTGTCGTTTCAACAGACGGTAGCCTGGTAAGTTTTTATTATTTTTTTGAAAGAATATTTGATTCGTTCCGTTTGTACTTTCTTCCTCGCGAATACCGTTTGCAATCGGCATACTGTTGACTCAGTCATGGGATTTACTTGCTGGTCGGGACGTTGACTACCGCCATCTGACACTTTTTCCCAGTATCTATGATCCCGGTCCACCTAATTGATATAACTATTCAAGGTCGAACCGGCTTGTATGAACAATTGGATTTGCTGACTCTGAGAAATTTTCTTCTCAACGTACTCCGTTAAAATGTTCATCAATAACAACAACATTCAATCCCTCCAGCTGTTATTGTCCTTGTAAGGTTCTTACTTTGAACGAAGCCAGCTTGAACGCAGATTGGGGTTGCTTGAATGGAACAGTAGGCCCCGAGTGACAGGACTCTGCTGAAACAGATGTCAAGGAGGATAGCGGCGAGCTACAACATGCATCTACGTCAGTAAAACCATTCGAAATGGGACATACAGCGGGAACAATGGGGGTGTTGTTGGGGGAGGCAGGTGAAAGCGTTGCGTGCCGATTTTTAGAAGAGTTTCGCATGAGTGTGATAGTGAGACGTGTGTGAATGCCTAAGTCCATCATTGGGTTGTGGGCCTAGTATTACTCTATTGCCCAGGTCAAAGTAGAAGGTTTTCTTGAGAGACCATACCCGTAGCTTTTGGTTAAAGAACCTGTCCCACCAGGTAGCGGACCGGTGTCGGGAGTCTACGATTCTCGGTGAGCCAGTGGCTGGCACCATTTCATACGCCTTTCTGATGTGGCCAACTATTCAGGGTACCCAGATTGTCCTTAAGCCACACAATTGCCGNATTGCCGATGAGTGTTAATGTTTTTTCACTTCAAAGGTGAACTTTGAAACCGGTTCGGTTCGCGCTGATTGGTGCCACTATGGGCTTATTACGCCAGGTGTGGGTGGTTTGGAATTAGGGTATAATTAGCTCCATTAGACGAACTACCAGTGGTCAGTGAATCCGATGGAAAGCACCGGGCATTCACCTTTGCCCTCCCACTTTAGTAGTAGGAGTATATTCCGTGTTCATCAGATATATGATGTTTCTATTGAAAGCACAACATTCGAACTCATGAGGACTCCGTTTCTTCGAAGCCTAAATCAAAACAACAGATTTTCTCTGATCCCTATAGCAATATATCATAAAGTTATTTTCTATACTTATGGAGGAAACTCCGTGGAGATCAACAAATGACGTAGAGACGAGACACGAAGAAGTGCACGGAGCTATTAGGTGGAGTAGGTGTCTAGCGCCTTCCAGGTTGGGGTCAGAAAAACTGTTAGAGATATTGAAGGGTATGATAGCGAACCGACAGCAGTGGCGTTCTTGTCGTTTCTCATCACGCCAGAATGTTTGAAATGTACGTATACAGAGTTAGTTTGTGCACTCTGCGTGTTGACGATAGAGGTTCACTTTCTTCTTCCTAAAAACAGGCCCAATCCCTGCCAACCTTGCATATTGCCACAATCTTTCCATACATTGCGAGTTTGGCAGCGATCAGTGAGTTTCCCTTCACTGTATTTCGCTGTAATATGATGATAATGATATCATGCTCGCCATTGTTTTCAGTTTTAACGATGTTTTCGTATGGTTGTAATCAGATAGGTTTAGTTGCATTCAGTGGCGAATAAAGAGACCCAAACCTGACAAACGTGAACGTGGTATGTTTGTGATTAGCACCACTACGTACAAGAAGCTCGTTCGTTAAGAGCACACAACTAATGAGGAATCACTCCAATCTTCCTTGCAAAGCACTTATATTGTCTGATCTTATGGAGTATTAGGAGCATGTTGCCATTTCTCCATAGTACATCGTGTAAGGTTTAACCAGTGTTTAATAGTGTGTTGAGCCCTACGATTCAAGGTTCAATCCCTACTACCGCCACCTAACTTTTTTGGTGAGACGCCTCGCTGTTGTCCGGCTGAATACTGCCCATCGTGATTTAACCCTAACGTTGCTCACTTCGAAATCACAGAGCTTAGTTATCCATTCAACACGAGTGGACAGTAGGTTATTGAACATACAGAGCTTGTCCGCTTCAACCATCACATACAAGGGTGTGTAATCAAAAAACTAACATATGTGGGGCATCGTAATTGTTAACCGCTTGTTACACCACTTGGATTGCACTGTTTCTACCAAGTTTACCGCTCCGCTGAGAAGCACTTACTCTTACGGCAAGATTCAAGCAGAACCGCACAACTAGTCAAATCTGCCAAACTCACTCTCGTATTTAGGACGTGATCTTAAAGAAAATGGGCAACTTCCTACTCACTTCGGGAACACTTTTACCTTATGAGATACTAAACTGAAATCACACGTTTAGAACCGCTGTTTAGTGAGAGTTCATGAGGTTATAACCGGTAAAGCAATGGTGGTAGTATGAGCTCAGAAAAGGAGTAAAGTCGAAACCTCATTGTTCAATCATCTGGTCTTGTGAAACATCGTTGTTTGGTCTATACTTATTGACCCGTCAATCCTGATTGCTTCTGCAGCTGTGGGACGTTCTCCTGCATTGATCGTTGGGTTATAGAGACCATCACATCGCGTCAAACTGAATTCTCGTCATGATGGATCATTGGGGCTTGAAAAATTGTTACTATCTGTTGTTATTGTTCTCCTGTCTTGCAGATATCCAGTGAGCTTTCATGTTTTCTCTCATTCTCATCATTTTTCCACGGCAGCGTCCTCGTCGCAAACGCGATCCAATAGTTCGTAATGTGGCTTTGAGCCCGATCTCCCAACGTGGTCCGCTCAAGATGATGTCACCGACCTCGCCCACTTTCAGCTCTCCCGGTTTTGCCAGCCCTGCCTCAATTCTCACGGTGGCCGCTGTGCAGAATCGTTACAAAGCGGATCATCCAATGGACGTGTTCACACAATCCGGCTTACATCCGGCCGCTTTGGGTGATACCTCTAACAGTCACTCACCATCTGCTTCGACCACTTCGTCCGTGTTTTTGTCCGATGCAAACTACTCATCCAGACAGGGGTCTCACCCGTTTCGATCTGTAGGTTTGCCCACTTGTGTTGTCACCTAACTGACTTGGTATCTCTTTTATTCAAATATATCACTCGTCCGGCTTCTTAATCCAGCAAATCATGGAACTTTTTATGAAGCTTATTATACCGTGATTTGTTTTGCTTACGGTATGACCTCAGACGTGTGTGAAATATAGTAATATGATAACCAGTCCTTTTCCCGGAGATTTTCAAAAGTAACAGAAAGGAAAAACACTTAGTTTCATCGTGCACTTTCTAAATTCGTAAACTGGTAAACATCCACAACAGTACTGATTCGTGAGATTACTCTAATAGATGTCATCCTCGTCAATAATCCTGTGTATTTTTATCAGCAGTCTCCAAAATATCTTCGTGCGCGACTGCCCAGTGATCATTCGCCCAACTTGCGCTTCTCTCTGGGACATGCCAGCCCCTCAGTCTCCACTTCCACCTCCGGGTATGCAACCACCGAAGGACGACGTCATCGGGCCATGCGAGACTCGCTCATAATCTCTCCTACCTCATCTATCGAGAACCCTTTCTCACCCGCCGCCACAGCCTCCACTTCCTCACGTGATCATACCCTACAACCCTCTCAGTACAGCTCCTCAGATCCTGTCAACGGAGTTGTGCTCATTTCCGTTCGACCTCGTCAAACTCAAGACAGCCGAGAAGTGAACCAGGCCGTCACAAAGGCGTTTGAACGTATCTATTTCGATGAACCGCAAAATGTACATCCTAGTTCGAGTAAGTTTTTCGGCGAACTTGTTTTCTCTTCCCACACATCTAAAATTCACAGTACTATAAATGATGCTCTGTTCATCTCATACTCATTGTTGATTATCGACGTTTTACTGGTGTCTTGATCGCTTCATAGTACTTGGCTGATTTACCTTAGTCCCCAATTATTGGTCTCTTAACCTTCCCGTGTTCGTTTTTTTTCGTTCTGATACCTTGTGGTCGATTGGTGAGTAGGAACAGCGCACGCCTGTTACATTTTTTTAAGCACCGTGAATCGAAGCTGCATCTTGACACAGTCGAGTGCTGTCTTATTCTCACTTAACGCATTCATATCTTGAAGCGTCAAGGGGCGGATTCTATTTCGTAAAGTTACAGTGGAGGAACGCACGGGCATCGCTTTTAAATCAACTAGTTGAATTTCCAAGCTTAACTGCTTTCCCGCAGTGCCACGTTTTTGAAATCTTTTCACTTAGTCGCGCAGGAACATCAGTTTCTGGCTTTTGCCCAGGAATGGCTTCAGCCGACTGCGAGAAGGTGCTCAATGGCACCATAATAAACCGTTCTGGCTGGTGTGTCGCGCTTAGGTAGCGTTCCGTTGATAATTTGATCGTCTATTATCCTAGATAACATTGGTTCGCTGATAGGAAAATTCGATGATGTTAATAGCATGGTACACCGAAAGGAATATAAGAATGTAAGGTTAATTCTAATCTGGGAAGATTGGCTACATCCAGACATAGAGGACAACGTCGTGCATCTTGTTGTATTCGACATCTTTCGAGGCGATCTAAATGTGAACTTCCTTCACAAAGGTGGCTGATTGTTTGCTTTGTTAAACAAAAAAAACAACGTAAAAACACTCATCAATTTTTCACTTGAGTACTCCTAAGATAAATTGTCTTTTTGTTTATTGTAAGCCCCAAGTTATCAGTCCCTTTCATCTTATTAAATTAGCTAACAGTTGCGCTGCTTCCGACACGCCTGCCTCTGATATTTGTTTGTTTGTTGACTCTTTCTCCTCACAACTTACAACAGGTTTAGACCAGTCTCTATGCATTGCAGCTGGCGATTTCAATCGTTTGGGTATCTCCTTCCTAGCAATCTTCAGCGTAACATATCTTGCGAATTTCCCTAGCCCGGAAATCATTTTCATTAAAATGCGGGCTCACATAGACAGCTTAGATCATTGCTCTATTTATTTACATCCCAAAATTTGTGGTCAATGTTTTCATCATCACAAGAATTCGCTCCTCTGACAACTTAAACAGATTAAGAAGTGTGGTTTCTGCTGCAGATTTTACTGTCCTTTTCAATGCTGATAACTCTTTCGGTTGTGAGCATTTTACATGTTATCTTAATTTTTGCTATGATCTGTGTTGCCCAGCTAAGACTTTATGTATTCAGACTGACAGAATCCCGTTGCCTTTTCTAAAACGGCTCCGTCGTAATAAAGAAAAGGCTTACGGGACTGGAAGGCGCAGTGTTAAGAGCTAACAAACTGAAAATACTGCGCCTAAATCGGATGTATATTGGAACAGCGATGGAGCCACGTTGCCATCAGTCACCGCTGAACGGGGTCGATTCAAGACTGCCTCTCTCCTTGGGCAACACCTGTGGATACGGACCACGAATTGTTACGAATCGCATTCGCCCTATATCTGGCGAAACACCGCAATGAAGCCACTGTCAATGGATACTCACGATATTGCGATCGTTGGAAATCGACCTTTGAAGCAGAGCTCTCCAATCGCCCTTCAGTTCAACCAGCTGTCGCAGAACTCAATGATCACTGGAAGCAGATCACAGAAGCTATGCGAATATCGATGTAAACAATGATTCATGGAGAGTGAAGTTTGAAGATGAGTTATGGTCGGGAGAACGCGTGGAGGTGATTGAAGTAGGGTCTTGGATACGCATTCCAGAGACATAAGATACGTTTACATTGAAAGTTTCAAGGGCAGCTTGTTTACGGATATCGTAGACTGTGCCTACGTTGAACGCAGCTAAATGAACACGAAGTTTCGGCTTCAACAATCCTATAAGCTCTAATTGTTTGGCTTTGTTGGTAAAACGCTGGTTGGCTTAAACAGGAGTGAAGGACTATACAGATGGGAAAGAGGTTTTTCGAAATGCGTGCTTGAGTTTTCCGCTATAGCTCACACTAACGAAGGGGCTTTTCGAGAATCCTAGCCGGAGCGTTTGGTTCAAAATTCGGACCCACAAGTCAGTGGGGGCATAGCTCCAACGCATGAGCGTGACTGAAGCACCCATGTGGAATCTTCTAGGGACCTGGCACGCATGCCGCTCGAGTTTCGGTTTCGTGTATTGTTCGCTGATGCGTTGATTGTCGGTCCGCCCTTTGTATTGGCCCTTAGTCTCATGCACTCAGCGAAAGAAGCTGAACGTGGACAAGACAGTGCCCTATTGACTTGGGCTGGCGGTAGCTGTCCAAGGAAGTGCGATGACTCCCCCCACCGTTGAGATGAAGACCCAGGTACCCCGGTTCATACGTCCGTCTAGCGGTTTTTTGACCGGTAAACTGGCCCTGTCGTGTTTATTTGCTGGATTGACCTCACCAGGGGTGAGCGTGGATAGGCAAAGGAAGCCAGGAAGTGTCTACGCAGCTGACCCGTATAGCCTCTACTCATTGGCCCTTCGGGTATTATTGGATCTATGGCTG